GTATCAAATTGAAATGTTACTAATTGAACTCGTCTGTCAAAATTCACCCCGAATAGACGGCTAATTGTTGACATGTTTGCCAAAAATTCTCAAAAGAAATGCCTGAAAATATCTTAATTACGCTTTCCTGCCAATTTAAAACTTCAAATTAAGGACCAATTTGCTACTTAATCTCGATCTTGTTTACTTCATAATTTGGGCGATAAAAATACCATATGTTGCTGTTTTTTTTTTTTCCGTTTTCTTTTTTCAATTTGCCTCTAATGTGCGGAGACTAAAGAGGGTTTGAGCACTTCTAACTCGATAATTAAACCTGGTATATCTCACATAATGGGGTGTTTTTCAAGTCGTAGCTAATCAAAGTTAATTCAAAACAATTGCATTTCCTTCTTTGACCTTCTTAATAATGACACGAGCTGGCTTCTCCCGTCTTTGTCTTGCCAATTATGCGGCTAAGTGAAATTGCAAATCGGAGACGCCGCTTTTGTGCTATGTTAAGATTTCGAAATGAATAAAATTAAGCGTGTTTATGGTGTCTGTTTTCTGCAGTGGTGGAAGATGAAAAAGAAAAAAAATCTATGGTGCAATACTGAAGATTTATTTTACAGTGAATACTTTTTACTTTTAACTTCACTACGTTTTCGATCTGGACTGAAAAGTAAAATTTTTTCTTTCTTATTTGAGAATCGAGACTTATTTTTAGCACATTTAATTTGAGTTAACGTCCCAACTTTGAGCAAACCAGAAACAGCAAGAAAAGTTAAGAAATAAATTGAGGTTAAGTCCACATGACGACGATATGAAATGTTTTTGGGTTTTTTTGCGGGTTGAAAAAAAAAATTTGCGTCCACACACATGTTGGATCAAAATATATTCATGTCCAGACAACAACAGAGTGAAAATGATGTAATACATATGCCACACCTGTATGTGGCGCTGTTAACAATGATAATAATATTTAATAATGCTGATCACAGTTTTTTTTGTTTTTTTTTTTAAGGCAATTTAGCCAATTTTAGGTGTATCCCACAACTATAGGTGTTTTGTGTTGCAAAAGTTACACATCAGTTTTCGTTTTTAGCCATAAGATTTGAATGAAATTTGTTAGAATAACTTGGTCTCAAAATCCAAAGGTTTAATTACCCGTGTGTAATCTTTGGAATCTAGCAGCGTGTCTCTGTTGTTGGGCGACAGAACGGCTCCGTAGGTTTACACCTGTCACATTTAGGCAACAGTCTTCCTCTGCAGAGGCCAGTTCAAGGGCTGTGACGGGATCACGACGTCATCATTCTCCAAAAGCTGCAGATGTGGGGACTTACAAGTCATGACTTGGACTCGTGTCAGACTTGAGTGACTATTTTTAGGACTTGAGACTTGAGGCCTTTCACTGGAAAAGACTTGAGATGCACTTTTAAATCTGAATTCTTTCTATTCTGACTTCACACTAAGATCTTGTCAAGACATTTAAAAAGGAAAAATTACCTAAATTAATTTCTACAACTCTTATTTGCTCTATAAATACTCATATATAAATATGCTGTGACTTTATCTTAAAATGAATATAAATTGCAAAAATCTAAACTATATTTGGTACTTTGGTTTAAAAACTTGAAATGACTTGAAGCTCAAAGCTGACGACTTGGACTTGACTTGGACTTATGGGCCAGTGACTCGAAACTTGACTTAGACTACGTTCAGACTGCAGGGCTTAATGCTCAATTCTGATTTTTTTGTGAAATCCGATGTTTTTGCGAGGTCGTTCACATTTCCAATTAAATGCGACTTGTCTGTGACTTCAGTGTGAACGGTAAACGGCCCGAAAGTGTCCCGCATGTGCACTGGAGACACGATGACGTCAACCCCATGCGTCAACCGCAGCGAGCGTGATCTGTGTTTAAGGAAGTTGTCCAAATATGGTCGCGAGCATTGAGCACCTGGCGATTTTACAGATCTGGTTTCCGCCTGCTTCAGCGCAGAATAATGACGTTTGTCGCTTGTTAATGACGTGTAGGTCAGATGAATGCGCTTTGGCCGTTCAGACTGAAGTCGCATGTCAAATGATCAGATATGTATCAGATTCAGGACCACATATCCAAGTGGCCTGGGTCACATTTGAAAAATTCTGATCTGTGTCGTTCAGACTGTCATTAAAAGATCAGATACAGGTCACATAGAAGCCAAAAAAATCGGATTTGGGTCACTTCAGGCTGCAGTCTGAACGCAGCCTTAGACTTGCCTGTATTTGACTTGGGACTTGACTCGGACTTGAGGTCAAAGACTTGAGACTTGGTCCCACCTCTTGGTCCCACGCAAAGCCGGTGTTCTCAGATTTCTCCACTCTGGAACTCGTTCTCAAAAATCACAGTTTTCACCCACACGAAACGCCGGCTCCGTGTGGACGAAAGGCCAAAACAAATAAAAACTTGATTTACTTTATTTCATATTTTTGCTGTTATTGTAGCAGTGCTTTTTGGGATTACAGCTTCTCAAAAAAAGTCACCAGTTGTTAATTTTTCATCCAATCCAAATGTAAACACATGGGGAAATACATCTCATGAGATGATTTTCAACGTGTGATTTTGTCTCCCGAGATCTTGTTGCACGAGATTTGATCCCATCCCCATAAAATGAATATTGTTAAAAAGCCAAAATTAGTTGTAATACAGAGAGTTACTGGTTCCAGTCACAGACAGAGATCAGGTTGTGAACATTTGTGAATGTTTTTGGATTTTTCTTGACAATGTGAATCAATAGAAAAAACATCACCACTCAAGAATCTGAAAACCTCCAATATTAAGATTTCAAAATGAATAAAACGAAGTGTGTTTTTAGTCAGTTTTTCTGTATTAAACGTGTGACAGGGACATGACGATGAGGATCCAGGTAATGAGAGACGATCACGATGTAACATGGCCTTTCAATTTCCCTTGTTTTCACAGACTTGTCAAATTAAAGAACTCGAGTTTCTCTTCAAATTGAAATCTATGCTCCTGCTACACCGAAACTGACAAGAGAAAAACAAAACACATCTCATACACTGGAAGATTTTTAGACAGTGCTGGAAAGTAACAAAGTAAATGTCCTGTAAAAAAAAAAAAAGCAGGTATTTGTACTTTAATTTAGTCGATTTTAAATGGATACTTTTTACTTTTACGTCACTACATTTGAGAGCAGGTATCTGTACTTTCTACTCCACTACAATTTCAACAGGACTGAAGAGTAAATGTATTTTTTATTATAGTTTGAGACCTGCTGAAAAGCCTGAGGAGTCTATTTTTAACATGTTCGTAGTTTGAGCAAACAAAAATATACAAATACAAACAGACAAGGAAAAAAAATCAATGCAGTTATTTGCGTTTATCGAAAACACTACACTGAAGCTTTATTAAATCTGAAAATCTGTGCGAAATAAACAGATATTTTAATACTTTAACTGAAGAAGATGACAAATAAAAAATATTTCTACGATTTTCAGTATGTTTAAGTGCGCTCACTGTTTGCTTTGACCTAAATGAAAGGCCTGTACTCTATTTTTTTTCCATATATTTGAGTAAAATGCGACTCGTTTCACTACAAAATAAGTCTGCGGTGGCTTTTTCAGTAATCAGGAAGTGCACACTGGCATGCTAGTTGTTGTCAGCTTACCCGTGACTCGTCTGTGGTCTCTGAAAGTCGGGAAAAGCATTTATAAACTCATCGTGGTGAATAATTAGGCCTCTCCGAACGCATAAAATAAGTGAGGAATAACTTCGGATCACTGCAAACTGTGGAAATCTGGCACAGCGTCTTTAAAGGTTGTATGGAGGATTTTTTTTTTGTTTCAAGTTGTCAGTGATAGATTATAGATGCAGTAGCCTTGTAATTATGATGACCAAAAAAAAGAGAATAAAAATTCATCAACTCTGGACGTGGTGGGGCTAAACATTTGCCAAAAGATAACGACACTGCCTCGTTATCTGTGAGCTGACAGGCTGTCAATCAATCTCCCTACGTTTCTAGCGTAACTGACTTGCCTGCGCCGCCGGTACGTGGTTTACGTAGGCCTGTCACGCAGTCCACAGACGCAAGCCGCACATACGCTGTTTACTCCACCAACGCAACAGTTCTTAGCGGCTTTTTTTGACCTATATCTTCCTCGCAGTTCGCACAAAGTTTGTTGCAATGGCGAGAAGAATCCAGGAGCAGTTAACCGCAAAAGAAAGTCCGTTTTTGAGGTCGCTGAAAGAAGAAGACAAGGGGAAAAGCAGCGAAGCCAAACTAAGGTGATTCTTGAAGATTCATTCCAGCGATGGCGCGACTGAAGCAGACGCAGGGTCTAAAGACTGACGCACTGGTCCACAAATTACTCCTGGACAGGAAACTTCTGCTTATTATGAAAACGTACTTTATTTCCAAGAGCGAGACAAACGTTTTTCAGGACACGAAAGCAATATCCTATGTCTGAAAACGTCATTTTCAAGGCAAAGAAAGAGTCCGCTTGCTGCTGCTGCGTGTTGTAGCTAGTTCATTCGCACTGAATCTCCGCGCAACCTTCTCTGCACCCCTTTCCTGCTCCTGTCCCCGCTGCCCGATCCACTCTTCCCCCTGATCCTCACTTCTCCGGGCACGGAATCTCTGCGCACCCGCTCTCCTCTCCTCTCTCCTCTCCTCTCTCCTCTCTCCTCTCTCCTCTCTCCTCTCCCTGCTCCTCACTTCTCCGTCTTGTCTAACCAACACTGTAGTTAGTTGTTTACAAGTCATGTGCACCGGCTGTAAACAAACCTGTTTCTGGCGTAAGGAGGAGGAGGGAGGAGGTGTTTCTACGTAGGAGCTGTAGGGGAGGTGGTTTCACGCATGCGTAACATTTGAAAAAGGACAAACAGTCGCTGGATTTCTCGTTCCTTGGAAAATCCTCTATACAACCTTTAAGTGTTGATCAATGGACTGCAATAATTATGTAAAGTGATTATATTATCATCAAAAACAACGTAAAATGTATAAAGCTCGTATTGAAAGTTTACCTTAGTGTAGACGTATATTCTGTCTGTGTACTGGCTGGCGCAGAACTGCAGTCCTGGGTACACGGGGAGGCTGGGGTCTTCTTCATCTTGGTCACTTTTTCCATCTAAAAAAAACACAGAAAATTATTAAAATCTCTGAATATTTTTGTCTTATTAGTGAAATGTTGCAACAGTAAAAGCTCGGAGACATTTAATAGTGTAAATGAAGCAGAGGCGGGGACTTGCAGGTTGTGATTTGGACTTGAGTCACTATTTTTAGGACTTGAGACTTGACTTGATAAAATGGACTAAGGCTCAGGACTCGACTCGGACTTGAAGCCTGTGACTTGATCCTTCCATTTCAGTGCAGACGACATGACAAAATAACTGTTACTAGGCACTTTTAAATCAGATTTTTTTCTATTCTTACCGTAATGATTCACACTAAGATTTTGTCAAGACATTTAAAAAGGAAAATTTACATTTCTTCAAATCTTATATAAATAGACCATGAGTTTTTAAGAACAACTTTAGTTTAGTTTAAAATTAATATGAAGTACTTAGGTTTAAAGACTTGAAATGACTTGAAGCTCAAAGCACACAACTGGACTTGACTTGGACTTATGGGTCAGTAACTCGAGACTCGACTTGGACTTGCCTGTATTTGACTTGGGACTTGACTCGGACTTGAGGTCAAAGACTTACTTGAGACTCGGTCCCACCTCTGCTATGAACAGGTTAGACTGCATAAATATATTTAAAATGTTACTAAAATCTTGCCTTTTTTGAATATATCTACATATTTTTTCATGTTTGGTGAAGGTAAAACTACCACTTCATGACATCACAAGGTGGACCAGAGCATTTTGAGCTTTGGAGACAGCGTTAAATAAACCCAAACGCAACTCCAGGTCTGTTTTTGAGGAGGAAACAACATCATAACATGGTTTATAAAGAGGTTTATAATTGCGTTTCCTGGTCAGACATGGGCAGAGATAATTTCATAACTGTTACCTAGCAACCGTAACGTTAACAAAGGCCAAAGCTCGTCTAATTTACACAATAGTTATGATTAGAATAAAAATAACACACATTTCTTCAGTTAAATAAATGTGTAAGCTGCCTGTGTCTCTGTGTTTTGAATGGAATTTTCTGTGTTGATGAGAGATTCTGTTTTCTAACTCAGTGCTGTTTCCTGTGATACATGCATCACAAATTTCGGACTTCCGATCATCGTGCAATGCACACTGGGAAGGATTCTCCGAAAAAGTGAGCATCAAATCACCATGTTTGATTTGCCAGTTGTCAAAGCCGATCTTTTCAAGTCTTTTGAACGATATCGCTTTTGTTTCTGGTTCTGATATTGTCATATTTTAGTTTTGGGATTCGGACGTCGTAGTTGTGTGGTTGTTGGATCCTAACAGCGGGAAACTGGCTTTGAAAGTTTGCGAACTCCATAAATGCAAAAGGGAATCAGATGTGTGTGACTGCAAACCTCCGTTCAAACTGTTTCTCTTCCCAACGGAATTGAAAAATAGTGAAAGGTGAAGGCGATGGGCAGGATTGATCCACAGGACGGACGATAAAGGTAAACTTTGGCTGCCTAAGAAATCAACCTGAGTTTGCAGTGAACATTTTGTATGTGGAGCGACAACAAAACAAAATCCCGTTTGTTAATTGAGAGGTGCAGAAGACAAACAGACTGAGCTTGTACTTTCTTGTTCTTGTGGCTTTACAGCACAGGTGTCAAACATACGGCCCGGGGGCCAGATCTGGCCCTCCAAGACCTTTAATCTGGCCCTCGGCTGATTTTCTACTAAAATATTTTTATTATATTTTCTATTAAAATATTGGTAATTTTCTGCGGTGCTGAGCATATCAGCGTCTCCAGTGTCTCTGTACGTGGCCCCTCCCACCAGAGCAGCACAAATGAAGACTTGTCTCTTTCCAAACGCTCTTAAAGGACGATCGTTTTGACTGTTGACCGTGACACCCTCATCAGCAAAATGTCCAACATGAGAAAAGTGGAGCCGAGTGCAGGATTTTACAAGAAAAATGTACGTATTCTTATTTACATACAAGTTCATGTTAAAACATTGTGTTGAAATTGCATTTTTCTTAAAGTTTCAGGTTGTTCATAATATTTTGTAAAAGAAAGAGTTCATCAATTAAAAAAGATTTCTGTAATAGATTTGTGTTTCTCTGCACAAATATTTGAACGTATTGTTATTTTTGGGGGTTTATATGACATGAGTTTTCTGATCCGGCCCCTTTGGGATCAAAGTCGGTTGGATACGACCCCCGGACCAAAATGAGTTTGACACCCCTGCTTTACAGCAACATCACGTCTTGGTCTCTTTGCAGTGGAAGTTGTTTCTTGGTGAACAGTTGGTGCCTTTCGCTTTGGCGTTGACTTTTTAAATTCATAACCAAGGTTGAGCGAGGGATCGGGATTTTGCTTTGTTGGCGCTCCACATGCAACATGTTCGCTGTAAACTCAGGATGATTTCTTAAGCAGCCAAATGTTTCCTTTTTTGTCTTTCCCATGGATCAATCCTGCCCATCGCCTTCACCTTTCACTGTTTTTCAATTCCGTTGGGAAGGGAAACAGTTTGAACGGAGGTTTGCAGTCACACACATCTGATTCCCTTTTGCATTTATGGAGTTCGCAAACTTCCGAAGCGCAATTCTCGAGCCGTTCTCCGCTGTCAGGGCATTCAAAAGCCACACAATTACGATGTCCGAATCCCGTAACTAAAATATGACAATATCAGAACCAGAAACAAAAGCGACATGGTTCAAAAAGACTTGAAAAGATCAACTTTGACACTAGACAAAAATGGCGGTTTGATGCTCACTTTTTTGGAGGATCCTTCCGTAAGTGCGACCGTAAGTCTGAAATGTTGTACTTTTCTTACTTTTTAGATAAACTGATGTAAAACTACGATAAGTATTCATCACAGGTTCTATCCCACCAAACCAAGACATATTAATTAGAAAAAAAACTCTGTCACATTCACTTTAATATTCAGAATTATCTTACAACCCCATAACATTTGTACCCGTGTATGCATAAGCAGGACGTATTTGCATGGACTATTTACGACTTCTGAAGCATTTCATTACGGCGGCCCCCAAAAATGAAACGTAATTATCGGTGACATTTTCTGAAACACGTCGGCGCGGCTACGTCAAGTTATTTGTTGAGGTCTGTTGGCTGTGAGTGCAGAGTGAAGCAAAGAAATACAATAAGCAGCCACTGAGGCATTCATGATGGAGTCTCTGCATTAGAAATGAGCCCAACTATTGTAACTACAGCAGCAGAACACATATTTAACCGTAATGCAATTCTGTTTTATTCTATTATTTATATTGTTTTAGATATTGGAGTGGATACGGAGTGAATTGAAGTGATTAAGTAAGGAAATAAGAGTGAGGAGAGAAAGAGAGACACAAAGACTTTATTGATCCCGAGGGAAATTCAAGTTACAACGTTTAAACTGCTCGTGTCTGTGGCCTTTGTGTCTCACTCAAAGGTCTCAGTGCAGTTTAACAGGGAGGTTGTTCAGGTGGGGTCAGGAGAATCTGTGTCAGGGCAGTTTGAGGAGAGGAAAAGTGTCTCTCCTGCAGAGTCCTGCACATAGACTGTGTGAAGAAATGGACTAAGGCTACGTTCAGACTGCAGGGCTTAACGCTCAATTTGGATTTTTTTGTGAAATCCGATGTTTTTGCGAGGTCGTTCACATTTCCAATTAAATGTGACTTGTATGTGACTCCAGTGTGAATGTTAAACGGCCCAAAAGTGTCCCGCATGTGCACTGGAGACACGACGACATCAACCACAGCGAGCGTCTCTGTGTTTACGGAAGTTGTCCAAACATGGACGCGAGCATTGAGCACCTGGAGATTTTAAAGTTCCTCTCGTACCGGAGCCAGAACATGAACAACTTACTTGTTTTAAGGAGGAGATTGAGAAGGAGAAGGACGAGGTTTTTGGTCGTGGTGTTTTGTGGGACAGCGGCAGCGACGTCCGTTGAAAGGAACGTGTGGATGTGGAGACGGAGCCAAGAGTGGTGAGTGGTGATGTGCTTCACTTCAGTGACACTGAGTTCATTAACAATTTTCACCTACTTCAGCGCAGAATAGTGACGTTTGTGGCTTGTTGATAACGTGTAGGTGGATGAATGCGCTTTGTTCGTTCACACTGAAGTCGCATGTCAAAAGATCAGATATGTATCGGTTTCAGGAGCACATATCTAAGGCTGCGTTCACACTGCAGCCTGAAGTGACCCAAATCAGATTTTTTGGCCCCTGTGTGACCTGTATCTGATCTTTTAATGACAGTCTGAAAGGCACAGATCCGAATTTTTCAAATGCGACCCAGGCCACTTGGATATGTGCTCCTGAATCCGATACATAGCCGATCTTTTGACATGCGACTTCAGTCTGAACAGCCAAAGCGCATTCATCCGACCTATACGTCATTAACAAGCGACAAACGTCACTATTCTGCGCTGAAGCAGAATATTTGGACAACTTCCGTAAACACAGAGCACGCTCGCTGCGGTTGACGCATGGGGTTGACGTCATCGTGTCTCCAGTGTCACATGCGGGACACTTTCGGGCCGTTTACCGTTCACACTGGAGTCACATACAAGTCACATTTAATTGGAAATGTGAACAACCTCAGAAATCAGAATTGAGCATTAAGCCCTGCAGTCTGAACGTAGCCCAAGTGGCCTGGGTCACATTTGAAAAAATCAGATCTGTGTCGTTCAGACTGTCATTAAAAGATCAGATACAGGAACATAGGGGCCAAAAAATCTGATTTAGGTCACTTCAGGCTGCAGTCTGAACGCAGCCTAAGTGAGCGTGACATCACCAAAAGTCCAGTAAAATGTATCTATTTATTTGTTGATTTATTTCATTCACATAGTATAAAAAGACATCAACAGTGTCACAACATCAAACATACAAGAAATGAATGAAAAGGCGCAGAAAGAAGAGTCATCTTATGTTATCTGCCCCCTTTTCCCTTTTCCAGACAACACATCAACACTGATAGTTATTAAAAAAAGAAGCTCACAGACGCCAGTGGTTACAGGGGCATATTTGGAGCCAGGTC